CGATCTGCTATGCTTTTGACTAGAGGGGAGAGAAGGAATTGAGTTATACCCTCACCATTCTGTCAATTAAAAAAGTGAAGTTATCAGTCACTAGTAGAAATGGTCAAGCAAAAGCCAGTGTCTAAACATGCAAACAGACAATAAAGGAGTGTGCAAAACAACTGCTGGGCCATATATCTACTGATACATATGCAGCAAGCCAGAGAAGCCAATTTCTGCTCAGATGAGTATGGAAATTGCAAACAAAAGCAGCATGTCATGTTTGCCAAGAGAAGAACTTGCTGCCCCGAAAGCTTCAAATGACTAAGAAGCACTGGAGAACAAACAGTTGAGAGGCAGGACTCAAAGCATCCCTCTGAGCGAGAAGGATATACTACAGAGTCCAGCTGTGCCAGGTACAATGGCATGAAAAGATGATACTTCAATTTGCTAGCAGGTCTTTGTTTTGGATTGAAACGCTTTCATAAAGCTACATTTTTAATAAGATGTGTTGACTCTAAATTTCCATTTCAAACAACAATTACATTTCTTAAGGAAATACTTTGTTTCAGCATTTTTCAAATTACTTATCAAGTTTTTTTCCCTTTTCTTCTCTTCAGAACATTCTGTGAAAGAAGCGTGGGTTTACTTTTTTTAATTGACAAAAAGGCTTTATTTAAAAAAACAAAACACCCAGGTCAGAGAATGGCCTTCCCCATCCCTGCACCAGGCTGCACACCATGTGGTGCAACTGCAGCAGTTAGTGGCCAGCTGCCTGCTTCATCACAACCTTGGTAGCCACATTGCTGGAAACAAGTCAAGAGAAGATACAGGCATACACATGGCAGGCCATATGGCTTGGGGTTATAGGTTAGGTGTGAACAACAGCAAGAAATTGCCAACCTAGCTAAGCTCCTAAAGAGACCACATCTCATCTGATAATTGATCTGAACAACATTCCCAGTATTCCCTACACAAAAACCAAATCCACTTATCTCTGATAAGCACAAATGCTGTACAACTAGAACAGAATGAGTAGGACTTAAAATAGCATCCAGGAAGAGTAAAGGTAATGATTATAGCCTACTGACCAGCTTGCTTTCTGCTGACCTAGCTGTGTCAGATGCTTCAATGTTATGTCTTGCTTTAGTAGTGTTGGGATTTGCCATATTTCTGGGAGAAATTGGACAAGATGGTGCTCACCGTAGATTGAGAGGCCTCCCTGAAAACATTTCCTCCAAATTCTCTACCACAGTACACCAAAAGGCATGCAGTGGCAATGTGATCTACCTCCATTCCAAGCCTCCCTGATAGGTCTGGGAGAGCAGGTCCACACTCCCCACATCTCAGAATAGATTGATTTAAAACTTAAAGGATGGCAAGATAGACAAGCTTCTTGTCTCATTACCTGACATTATCAGGTTTGCTCGCTCAGAAGACCTTTGCAGATATGCAACAGTAGAGAGGCAGCCTTATCAGCATTTCATTTTCAAAGGATGCAGCTAGGTCTATCAAACACACTAAAAATAGAACATGCTTACAGCATTACTGTTCAGTTCCATTCAGGCAATTTGGCAAGTCTTAGAAATCTGTGCAGCAGTATCACAATCAAAAAAGGGACAAAGAAAAAAGCACTTACGCTGGAGCTCATATGTCTGACCACATCTCGAGGGACCACAGAGCGATCTTCAAGCTTCAGCTAAGGGAAGAGAGACAGACTGGAATTAGTGACCCCAGATGATACTTGGTCAGAAATAACATGACAAATACAAATGCACAGTATCCTGTTCCTCCAGACTGAAAAGGTTTTCAGCAGAGGATGGTACTTCCATACACAGTTAACCCCTTGGCACATTCACAAAATCCAGTTGACACAGCAACCAGGCAGCCTGTCCACGACTGCTCTAAGTCAGCACACACATCAAAAAGGGCGCAGACATTCTGACATGTTCAATCACTTCAAGTCTCAACTCTCCTCTTCCTCCATCTGCATCACACAGCTTTTCCTACCCACATCCAGTCTATGTACTAGAGAAGACAGGAGATACAGGAAGAAGTGCATCACACCACAGTTCCCTCATCCTGTGTGCTTTTCACCCAAGATACCCCCAAATATCTGCAGAAACCCTGTTCGGCCTGGAACATTTTAAGAAAAGAAATGGCTGTTGCTGTACTCAGTAGCCCCCAGGTTCATGCAGGTAACACAAAACGTCGATAAGAGCATGGATAAAGTCAAAGCACTGCTCATACTCCAGCTTTGCTAAAGCACTTGCTGGCAAAGAGCTCGTGCTGGCATCAAAAGATGTGGCTGGACCATGATTACACATTCTACATCGGTTCACGTAGAGCTGTGGGCACCAGGAGTCATCTGGTAAGGGGAGGTATCACTTGACGAATCTCAGAATCGTTTAGGTTGGAAAAGACCTTTAAGATCATC